CAAAGGAGGCGCCCCTCGACCTGTTGGTGCCGTTGGCCGCCAGCGCTGACATCATGTTTGTTGACTACGAGAAAAACAATTCAGTGATTGAGAAATTAGACAAGTCCAATTTTGCTAACAAAACCACCGGCATTGCTAACTATTTTGGCATTAAAGCATAATCTTTATTAAAGCATATTATTTATTTAGAATAAAAATTATTATTTTTTGTTGTTACTCATATAAATTTATTTACAATTTAATCAAAATATTTTAAAACAACTGACACACAGCGACGCAACAATTAACCCGTTATCCACAATAAATGTGCATTATTTACGGTTTATGGTTATTTTAAGAGTATGTTGTGCTTTAATTATTAAATATATTTCAATAAATATAAATTATTAAAATTTATTCAAAACCAGAATTTAAGACATTAAGTTGTTGCTTATTAACTGATTACTATTATGAAAATCACACGATGCCTATTTAGGACTTAATTTCAAGTGATAGTCTATTTAATATGAAAAATTTTCACAGTCAGTGACACTGATAGAAATAACAAATAACTTTATTTATATGCTTATTTTTAAAAGGTTTTATTCGGGAATTTGGCTATTTTATACCCCGATTCCCTCCAAATTTAAACATCTTTATTCTGGAAAAATAGAGGCAGTCGTGTAAAGCAAACAATCATTTTTATACTAAATTAATTTAATAGATAATTTAATATGATTTAAACATCGTTTATTGATTATATTTGTTCATGCGGTTGCCAAATAGAGCTATCTACTAAACTTAATCTGCTATATCCTATAGAAAACTGTATAATGTATGTGCACATTTACAGTAAGTATGCTTAGGGGTCGTTCACATATTACATTCGCACTTTTTCAGAAATCTAGACCCCCTCCCTCCCCTTTGTTCGCACTTGTTCGCATTTAGTCATTTAAAATTATAACGTTCGCATTTAAATAATTTAAGGGATTATTTTTTATCAACATTAATCATTTAATAACAAGTTTTGAATGAATTTAGCTATGAATTATTGTCGATTCCATGTTTATAATACATGATTTAAACGATTGGTTTAATTGTAGTTAAATATAGTTGTATTTTATTTCTTATAGGTGGGGGGGGGTGTTAGACACATGCGAACGTTATTTTTAAAAATGACTACATGCGAACAAAGTGCGAACATAGGGGAGGGAGGGGGTCTAGATTTTTTAAAAAGTGCGAACGTAATATGTGAACGTTCCCTTAGAGAGTTTAAGGGATTAATTTTTATTAAAGTTAATCTTTTGATAACAAGAGTTTGATTACAAGCTTTATATAAATATATGACTTTGGAATAGAAATAATAATAATAATAATAACAATAATAACAATAATAACAATTAACAATAATAAATAGTTTTATTTCAAGAAATTCTATGTCTTCAATGGGGGGG